ATATTCCTTCTGTGCAGAATGTTCTTCCCCTGTGTTCCAAATTGAAGGTCATAAATCAAAATTCTTATTTTTGATACCTTCCTCAACTCTTTGGAGCTAGATAATTTTCCCTTTTTTTCCCCTCTTCCTAAAAGCATTTTGTTTAGAACTCCTATCAAACTTTGTATGAGAAGCAAAATGAAATGTAAGTTATAAAGTATTGTAAGTTATCCTCTGTGTGAGAAAGTTGGTAAAATAAAATGCATACATATATTTATTGAAAATTTCATAGGAAATATTGGAAGAATATAAACCATAAAATATGAGAGGTAATAAACATTATTAATATCTATTTTTGTCTATCAACTTGACTTTATACCAGGTTGATAAAGTTCAAAAATGTATTCAAATATAAAAAAAAAATAGCTTACATCACTGTTGTTTATGAAATTCTTATTATTTTTTGGAATTTCCCCTAGAATGGAGAACATTGTTAGCTATTCATCTTAGATAGCCATTTCTTATTTGATCAGGTTCTAGGTCATGTGTGTGCTTGTCATGTCCTTCAGTGGTTTGGTTTCATGTAATTATAGTGTCAGGCCAACTGTTTACTACTAACTAGTAACTAGACTGCATTTTCTGTTTGCTTGTTTGTTTGTTTTAAATTAGGCAACGTCCAGTAAGTAACAGAAGAGCAGCAACCCCAAGTCTCTTCGTCTTTAGATTATATATCTATGCCCAAATCCCTTCATCTTTCTTCAGCATATATCTTAGCTCTCTTTCATTTCATTGAACCTCCCAATTACATCATCGATGGCTGTTCTCTTTAAGATATTGAGTTAATACACTTCAGTGCTGGAACTGATTATTGTCTCTCTCTATATTTCTTATGTCCCTGTCAAAGGTGGGATCTTGGAACAGCATTTTCATATCTAACATCTGATACAGACAGTTCCAGACAGAGATGTTTATCTTACTTTGGCTCATTTACCTAGCAAGTTTTCTATTGAGAGTTTTGTTCTGTTGAGAGATTTATTAATAAGTATGTGATCCTTAGATGTCCTCCTTCAAATTTATGAAAACTACAAGAAAGTCTTACTTATAAACAGCATGTAAATGTAGTATTTAACAAGATCTATTGTGTGATATATTACCACCTGAAATTTTAATTATTTTTAGACAGAGTATCATTATTCAACTACATCAAACCAGTAGAAGTTTACCTTTTTACTTAAGATCTTTAGAATTATTGCTTTCAGTTAGGGAATCATTACAATGCCTTTAAATCTTTATACACTAGTAATATTTGCCAATGTGCAACTTGAATTCCTTATGCTTGCTCCTCTTGCTCAGGAAATAGAACTTCTTTGTGGTGTTTGAATCCTGTTATGAAGTTGCTCTTAAGGTCCCAGCCACTAACAACAATGTTTTTTTTTTTTTT